AGGGGTTGCTTTGTTTTGTTTTGTTTTCTTTTAAATCTCCTCGGAATGAAAGTCCCGTCACAATTTGGCTTCTCACTCCTACGAGAGCAGAGTGGCGCTATAAAAATGCACTTAACACACATCCTCTGCTAGTATTTTTTTTCTTTTTTTTTTTTTCCTTTAAAAAAAAAAAAAAAAAGAAAAAGAAAAAGCCAGCAAGTCAGCTAGTAAGAGGTTAACAAAACCTTTGCTTCCAAAGCTGGGAGACTCAATGCCACCTGATTGCATCTCTGGAGAGGCGTAAAAAATTATTCGCGTAAGAGACGAGGAAAATCACCATGATCCTGCTGTGGGCATCGTCACTGTTCCAAGGTCACCACTTCCACTGCCTGCCCGTCCATGGTGACGGCACTGTCCGCTATCCTCGTGGTCACGGGTGCCATCGCCACCTGAACGGGGCCGTTGCCTTGGGCCAGGCTGGTCACCACCGTCTGGTACATGCTGACAGGGATCTGGACGAGACCTGTGGAGACAAAAAATAAATAAATATAGGAGGAGCGGGGTTGGGAGGGAAGGAACGGAGCGAGACCGGCACGAGGAACAAGGCTGGTGTGGCCACGTGCCGTGGCGTGGTCCCCAGGGGTTTGGGGGCTGCATTCAACATGGGGAGCGCTGCCCTGGAGATGATCCTTTGGATCGTTGGAGTACTCCCACCTGGAGTACTGCGTCCAGCTCGGGGGTCCCCAGGACAAGAAGGACATGGAGCTGTTGGAGCGAGTCCAGCGGAGGCCACGGACATGATCTGAGGGCTGGAGCACCTCTGCTATGGAGACAGGCTGAGAGAGTTGGGGGTGTTCAGCCCGGAGGAGAGAAGACTCCAGGGAGACCTTCTTGCGGCCTTTCAATACTTAAAGAGGGCTTATAAGATGGAGATAAACTTTTTAGCAGGGCCTAAGGACAAGGGGGTTTAAACTAAAAAAAGGTGGATTCAGAGTAGATATAAGGAAGAACTTCTTCCCTGTGAGGGTGGTGAGGCGCTGGCACAGGTTGCCCAGAGAGGCAGGAGATGCTCCATCCCTGGAAACACTCAAGGTCACGCTGGATGGAGCTCTGAGCAACCTGATTTAGTTGAAGATGTCCCTGCTCATTGCAGGGGGGTTGGACTAGATGGCCTGGAGAGGTCCCTCCCAACCCAAACCAGTCTGTGATTCTATGCATGGAAAGCCGGCAACTGGGGAGGACACCTGCCTCGCACCCGGCTGTGCCCGTGCTGGTGTAACTATTCATGACTGGGTGGTTTCGCTGTGCCGGACTCGCCTGCCACGGTGCCACGTGGGATGGCAGCAGGGATGGGATGGGATGGGATGGGATGGGGCTGGACAGCAGCATGGAGAGCTCAGCCTGCACCACAGGGCTGTCGGGTCACAGGGAGAGAATAAGGTTAAGGAGGAAAGAAACATGAAATTTTTGGAGGAGGAACCCAAAGACGATGCCAGGATGGTACTGAGGTACCTGTACAGCCGACCCTGTCAGGCCATGTTTTGCTGGAGGCAGGGATTGCTCCCACGCATTTCTCCCACAGCCGTGAGCGTGCCACCACACAGCCCGACAGCGGTCACCCACAGACAAGGACCACACTTCTGAAACGTGTTTTTTCACTTGATTTGCCCAGAATTGGGATCCTTGGGGCTAAGGAAGGGAAAAATTTGGCTTCTCCCCCCCGCCCGTGACTCTTCCACCCCCTGTAACTCTATACACCACTCAAACACCTTCCCGCTTCCGGCAGCACACGAGAAGGATCCCATCGCTGCGCAGAGCACAGACCAGCCCTCCTGCCCCGGTACAGCCACCGGCCTCTCTCAAACACAATTCACTTCTTCCAGCTCACTCTCCATCCCAGTCAGGTCCTTCTGTCTTCACACCAAGACGCGTAAATGGCAGCGTGGGACCAGTAAGCCCTGGCCGAGCCATACTGGCTCCGGGCACTGCCTATAGGTACTCACACATGTATATATACGATATATAACAGAGATAAAGGAAAGCAAACCAAGTTTCTCAGCCCATCGCCAATCACGGATGGGTCCAGCAAAGTAAGAAACATCTTCTTCCCAAGGGTGGCTCAGCTACAGAAAGGGAGCAGATGCCCCCGAGCTGAAGCTGGAGCTGGCAAAGCTTCGGGCAGGTTTTTGGCCATGGAGGAAAGCACCGCTGTGCCAAACGCGGCGAGTCCCGGTTAGCTAGGTAACACCAACCAAGGTGACAACAAAACAACGAGGTCCCTGAGGATATTGTGATGTAAATGATGAAAAGAGGTGGAAAAAATAGCAAGGTACTGCTCGATACAGCCGGGCAGGGGAAGGGGAATAGAAAATCCTGCAGGCTGGCAAGATAAACTTCATCTTTCTACTCTGATATTATCTGCCTGTACCCACCAGTGCCTTTGGCTTGGCAAAGGTGATTTAGACAAGTGAGCCTGTAAATGCTACCTTGTACAGGACATTTCTGAAAGCACCTGCACCTCTGTTAGGGTTAAAAAAAGGAAAAAAAAAAAAAAAAAGCTTTAGAGGTCAACAAATCCTTCCAGCCAGCAGCACAGGATGGCCAACCCCTGAAACAATGTTCAGATGGTTTAAGATAGCAGGTTCCTGACCCAGGCTTTCCCAAAAAAGCAGTACAATCTCTTTTGATTCGGGTTTCTGTGGCAGAGAGCGGACCTCTGTCCCGCCAAGGGCACTCGTTTAATAACACGAGGCGGCGGAGCACGGCTCGGTGTCCTCAGATAACTTACTGTACAGACAGGAAAGCTTACGAGTTAATCGTGCTGACCAGGTGGGTGACCCCAGCAGAGTGCAGCATGCTTTGCGGTCCTTCGACATCCCTCCTCTTGGGATCTCAAAGCACTCCGGGTAGGAAAGTTTTGCAATCCCCCAGCCAGAGGGCTGCCCCACACCAGACAGGTCACGTCCACGTTCCTCCAGTTCACAGCCCAACCGAGGAATTGCTTTCCTGGTGTGATAGTTCAACACCGAGCGGTAGGAACGGCGTGGAGTCAGAAGGTACAAAGCTCTGGGGGTGCTAACAGATGAGAGTTTTAGGTGACCAAACACTGAAATGACAGGTCATGCTCAGCCCTCTTGAAGAAAATCTCCTATCAGACCCTTCAGGGAAACGTAGCACATCCCAGTTTAAGCTGGTGCTGGCACAGACCTGGAGATCTGGCCTGGGATGCACCTAAAATCCCCACTCCAGACCAACAACCCAACTAAGCCCTTTGGGTTACTTGGGTTGCTAACCTGAAGGAGATTGCTGGAGCTCTCAAATGACAGTCTACTACCCACGGCCAACCCAAAGGCCAGAGTCACCACCACCCTCATGGACCACGTTAAAAACCTGATCCCTCTGTGCTGTTCAAACACGTCTCGGCCAGGGTAGGGCTGCTGCCAAAGACAGGTGCTATCAAAAGATGGTGAGATGTGAAGACCCAAACAGGGTTTTCTTTGGAGAGGATGACTTTGCGTCACCCAAGGTTTGGCCACATCTTGGAGTGCATGGGTGAGCAGGGAAGTTTCCGTGAGAGACGGCAACACGCAGATCCCTTTCTGCATGGGATTAAACTAAATCGCCTCAGCATCTGACGTAGTGGCCTTCCTGCCAGGGGTGGTAACAAACCAAAGGAGAGGGCTGGAAAGTCTGCTGTGCATTAAAGCAGAGATGATCGCCCTTGGGAGAGAGACGATTAAACTACTGAGATACTGTAATCAGGTCTCGGATTGGCCCCGCACTGCATCTGCTCAGACCTGCACCCTGATTAGCCCTAATCTAGCTGGCATATGTTAATCTAAAGCATGGATTTCAGACCCTTTCAATTGTATTAAAAACAGGAAATCCATTAGACAAAAAAACAACAAAAAAAAACCCAACCCCAAACCAACTTCTTGAGTCTTTGAAAAAATACGTATCTGCAAAGAACGTGGAGCCGTGCCGGGGTGCTCCGCAAGGAACGGGGCACGCAGGCAGGAGAGGGAAGAGGGATCCCGTTGGATCCCGCACGCAGCTCAGACAGGCTCCTGCCTGGGGAGGGACGACAGCAGAGGTGATGAATCAGGCACCGAGTGGCACAGACCATGGCCACCATGCTCCCGGGAAGATGCAGCCGGGCTGTGCATTGGCTTCCCCTTCACAAAGCCACCCAAAAAGCCCCTCTGGAAGGAGTAGCGGGTGACACATGAAGCCCAAACATCTCCATCCCCCTGCGAATCGCCCGTTCCTGGCCACCAACCTCACCTACCTGCCAGCACCTCCCGTTCTCAGCAGGGAAGAGGAGCCAGCTCCAGCCGGCCAGGCGCAAGGACAGCATCTACGCAGAGAGCTGGGGCAGAGCCAGCACCGAGGTCCTGCCTCGGTGGTAGGTCCCAGCATGCCAGGGAAAGATTATTTTTTTTTGGTGGAGGATCAGCTGGCTTTGCTAGGAAGGAGGCTGTGGCATGGCCAGCATCACCTGACAGCCATGGAGGGGAATGGGTGCTGCGGCAGGACACAAGGGTGGCCAAGGGAGAAGGAGAGCCGTGAGAGGCCTTAGGGGTTGAGATGGCCACCATGAATCAAAGGATTAGAGCTGATCGACTCAGAGACGGCTGCGGCTGTGCTCTAATGCTGGGTCAGATGATATTAGCGGCCAGAGGAGGTAATGAAACTCCTGGTGTTTCAGCAGAGGTTACAGCTTACAGAAGAAGGGTAAGGGTTAGGCTCTACCTGTGACCAGAGAGCCACAGGATTCAGAGGCCCAAAGTCATGCGATGGCTGCTGGACACGTCACCTGGCATGGAGGGCAGAGCAGCAGCAGCGTAAGAACAACCATTTTGATCCTAAGTTGCTGGTGACTGCATTAAACCACCACAAAGGACTTCAGGTGAGAAGGCCAGGTGGGTGGGATGATTCAGTGCCCTGGAAATTGGTGTCCAGGGTCAGCAGTGCCCTGGACATCCAAGACAGTTGATGCTCAGGGGACCAGGGACATCGGTGCCACTTTTAACTGATTTGTTAACACCTCTTCACCCTTGAGATCAAAGCAAGTGCAGCACAAGGAAGAGATACTACCAGAGTCTCCAACTGTTGGGCACGTTCCCAGTCCTTCAGGATCTGGAATACTGTCCTACTCAGCAACACAAGATATGCCTCTTTTCCCCAGTATCTAAGGTTGAATCCATTCCACAAGGTGCATCCTGATCTCCTGTTCCTCTGGTAGTTTTCTAAGGTGCTCAACGGACGCAGATGGCTAACTAGCCAAGCAGATCCACTCTTCAATGCCCCAATTCCATGAACCGGTTCTTTCCTGAACATAGATGAGGTCAGGTTTACACTACCCTGGCTGCTGATACTGCCCATCGCTGCGTTGTTTGGCCACACATGGAGACCGGTGCCGAGGACCCATTTGTCAGCATCCCATGCGGTTCCACATCCGATAGAGCTTATTTAAGTGGATATCTCATTCCAGGTATGGAGCAATCATACCAGATACGGCTG